GTTTAAAAACCCTTCTCTAGCAAATACGCTGGCAAGAACATTTCTTCTCCCTGACAGAATTCGGATTTTGGGTAGAGTAAGGATTGATGACAAAGTCCCACAAAGACAGTACAGTGAGACAGAGCCAAGTCCAGAAGCAACCATGTTTAATGAAGGAGAAAATTGTTTAATTTAGCATTTAGCCCAAGTATCTGGGCACATGGTGACTAACGCTCAAATGTATTAGCAGAGGCAGTGGCCTGTCACCTCTGTCTCCCTGCTCTTTGCTTCTCTGGTACCATCTGTAACAAACAGTACATTTGTGTTTTGTGATGCATTTGTCTGAACAGGAGCGTGTGTGTATGTGCTTGTGGGTGTGTGCATGTGTGGCTGGTGGACTGTCAGATGAGATTTCAATATCTGGTTCAGTGCAGGATGATCTGGACAACTCACATCATAAAGGTGTATGTTTCAGAGCCAGAGGCATTTCCAATGCAGAAAATGTGCTGGCTGTCTCTGCACTTTACTGTTTTTACATTTAATCATGTGAGACTTTAGAAAGGACCTCTTTGCTACGCCATGGAGGGAACATGGAAATACATCGATTTCTTACCCCAGGCTTTGAATGTGTTACCATACGCTTTCACTGCTGTGTACAGAGGGATTCTGCCTTTATTTTTTCACCTATTAAGGCATATTTGTGGCCATTTTGAGAAATAATACCATAGTTTATCAGACAATTGCCTATATGCAGATGAGGCTCCATTCTGCTTTTTCTTTTTGTCAAATCCAAATACTGCAGTCTGCTTTTCCTATGCCTGGCTGATGGAGAAGTGTCTGCCTGGGACAAATGCAACCTTATTTAAGAGAGAGGGAATAAAGTTGAACCAGGAGGGAATAAAAAACATTACAGAAATTGCATAGACTGTGAGTAACCATTCAGTTGGTGAGAATCAGATACACATTCCTCTGTCACTTTGCAGTGTCCAGGCTGTATTTTATATGCTTTGGAATCTCAGTTTCTTGATAACAGCAATCTCATATGCCATACTGTCTTCTTTTATCTACAGCTGCCCTATCTATTATGGCAATCCCTCTTTGATTGACAGTTATCTATTTTTTTCTGACCTGAGGGCAAGCTTATTGCAATGCGCTGCTTTTAGTGCTATCACTGAAACACATCCAAAAGCTTCAACTGGTGCATAATGTGGCGGTTCAGCATTTGAAGAAGTGGGCACATATTGCTGGGAGCATACGTGGGTTTTGTTGCTCAGCCACATCTACCTGTTAACAGAAGATGCAGTTCAAACCATGTTCAGTGGTACAAACGGCTCAGTGGTCTGAAACGCTGTTGTTTGCCGAGTGCTTTGTTCTACCTGTGTTCAGTTGCTATGACATGCAGTGTTGTCTGTCTGTTCAGTCAGTTCCAGAGATTTTAACGATCAGGAAAAGGCATCTCAATGCACTGCTCTAGGTCAGTGTTCCCATGTTGAGGGTGAAGAGTTTCCTGCTGGAAAACATCTGATCAAAAAGCACAGACTCCTGCAGCTTGGTTTTTATGGTCCATGAACATCCAAAACTAGGAATCCTCCCAGCATTTAGGGGAGAGACTGCATTCGCTTCCTAAGTCCTAGCCTTTTGATAGTGAAGAATGAAAATTATGCCTTTAATTGCACTTCCTAATGGTAATTTCCACCTTGTACATAACCCTTCTATATCTGCATGTAAGGATGCCATTTGCCACTGGGGTTCCTTTGCCGTCAGGGTTGAGATTCCTGGTGAGCTCAGATATGAGGCATTTGCAGATTTCTCTCTAAAATGCCAGGGAAGGGAGAAACAGAAGAGGAACTGGGACTGGCACTTCTTGTACCATTCTTCTTCAGAGTTGTGTGACTGTGTTCAGCAGGGTAGAGACGCCCCGGAGACCAGGCATGGCTCGGTGGAACCCTGTGTACTAGTTGGAGAAGAGATGATGGGCTCATTTGTTACTGTGGGTACTGGGACATGTGGAGGTGAGGTGACAAAACCTGGAGATTTTAATGGCTTTTGATACCATCTGTTCCTCTGTCCTATGGTAAACAGCAAGAAAGTTGACCTTCTCCTTCCCAGCTCCTGCAGGTCAGGCCTGGGAGTCCATGGGAGGCAGAGGGGCTGAATTGGAGCTGCTTATGCAGCATTTGTTCTGAGGGACAAAGCGGGAGCCGCCTCTGGATCTGTCGCTTCTCTCGCAGCTCCCAAGTGTGACATTTTAAAACGGTGAACCTTGGAACAATCTTCATGTATAAGCTCTTGGGGTTTGCACAGTCATGTCCGGTGTAGGAGTATTTCTCGATGATGTCTGTCTCCATGGATTCAGAGGTGACACCGTGTTTGTGTGTTGCCTCTCTTATACTACCACCCCCGTGATTAAGGCAAGGATCCTGAGTCACCTTCAAAAAAAAATCAAAATTTCCGGCAAACCTGTAGGCCATCTGTTAATGTAGGCAGGCAAGAAGATACTGCGTAGGAAAACTTGGTCACATGGCAGTGTTTATATCCGTCACCACAGCTATTTTTTTTAACCTTGTTAAATGCCATTTTAATTATTGTCTAAATTCTTTTTCTGTAAGAAATTGTAACAAAGAGAAAGCCCGTAGTGAAATGATTCTTTGAAATTAGACCATTCCTCAGAGTCACTTTATGAATATGCAAATCACATCCGTATTTTAAAATGCCGTTCATTTTACTGTTAGAAAAAGTTCTATCAAAAAACAGCAGATCCCTTTTATGAAAAACCTGAATTGTCTTCTCTCTGGGACTGCGGGGATAGCATGTGCACTGCATCACATTCCTGACATGGCAGGTATTATCAGTGCTAACAGTTGGTGGCATACAGCAGCTGCCACTTGATACAATGCAGTAGAAAGTGCCCCGAGTCCAGTAATGTCTACTTGCGATATGTCTTGTACAGTATAAAGATACAGCCTGTTACCACTTCTGACAGTCACGGCAGCGATGACTCCCTTCTCCATTTCTACCAGAAAACAAGTGACTCCTCAAAATTAGAATCCCTTTGCATTCCTAGCCTGCGAAGGCAGGAATATTCTTAGCAGCACCCTGTGGATTAATATTCACAACAAACTAAAAATACCAGGCTAATGCATACACTGGTCTGCTGTTCTAACCCTAAAAAGCTGTACCTAGCACTGGTTTCTTACATACACTAGCTGTGACCAGAAGTCTTTCCTTTCCTGTACTGAATTTTTAATTTCAGAAATAATCTAAAAGAGGCAAGTAGTTCTAAGGATTATAGTGTGTCCTTTCATGGCAAGCTCTGCCCAAAAATCTGGTGACACAAGAAGGTGGCTTGCTAGTCAGCATTGTTTGCAACACTGTTTGCAACAAAAATGGAAGAAATCAAAATCACTTCTTTCACTAGAGGAAGACCTAGTTCACTGATTAGCAGGTTATAACTAGACAGTGTGTTAGTAAAAGGTATTGAAGACAGCCTCTGGCCCTTAACTTCCTACAGACCCCTGAAAAACATCATTCCCTTCAATGAGAGACTTTTTGATGAGATGTAAATAGCAAAGCGAGTGGCTGAATCTCCCAAGACTTGAAAATGCAAGGGTGTTTTTGCCTCACGCAGAGAGAAACACTATCCTTTTTAGTCTGTGCTGCTTGGGAAGCCTTTAGAGATGACCAGAAAGCAGTCACACTGCTGTGAGGCACAAGAGCCAGAGAAGTCTTGTGTTCCCTGAGCCCCTCTGTTCAATAATGAGCTGTTCCTTCATTCCCTATCCTGGCCCATGCTGCAGCCTCCTCTCCATCTTCCACCACCTCCAAAGACTCCTTCTTGGAGTGCCAGGGCTGAGCAGAGTCCAGCCAATCTGTCAGATTTGGCAGGGCACATGATAGAGAATTTCCACAAGTTTTATATTTCTATGGCAGATTCCTCTCAGCAACTGGAGGACAGAGGGCTTCTCAGCTGGCATCAAGTTAGAGCAGCCTGTACAAATAGTATCTGCTCTGGCATAAGGCCTTGTGCGACAGGCAAATCTGAACCAGCACAGTGGCTCTGTACTTGGTCAGCTCTTTCTGTTTTACAGCAGAGGTGCCTCTTATCCTATGACAGAGACTGAATTCTGGTTCTCCCTATACTACATAAGTGTGGCTTAAGGATTTTCAAAAGCTTGAGGTGCAGCCCAGACCCTTTAGTCCCTCTCTTGAGAAGCCTGTCAAGCTTTGCATATGGAGCATGCCTTGGCTTCAGCTCTCGCTCTGCCACAGCACAGTTTGGCCAGAGAACAACTGCACCTGCCAGAGAGGGACTTCAGGCTTGCAAGAAGGAAGAACATCATTTTGGTACACTTAGCAGCAGCAGCATAGTATTGTGGGCTTTCCCTTGTGCTGGAGGGCGTACCATATGTACGCAACTGCAGGACATGTCTGCCCTGACACTTAAGATTGCAGATCTCTGGCTTTCTTGTGTGCCCTCCTGCATAGCAGCTCACAGATCAGAATGCCAGTAGAAAGATCTACCAAATATCCAGTTATCATTCCAGAGGGGAAGCAGGGCATAATTTTTATGCTGTCATGATGCAGCAAGAGGATTTCATGACCTGGTTGAGAAAAATCTGAGCTGAATGCTGCTGGCAGTCTGTGGCATTGCAGCCATATCCACCATGTTGTTCCAAACGTGGCAGATCCTGCAGTTGGAGAAGGAAAAATTTTCCCTGCTTCAGCTGGTATGAAAACTGCTGCACCTGGGTGGAAGATGAGGCTTCAGCCTTTGCATGGGATTTGTAAGACTCAGGGAATGCAATACCTGCTGTATGTGGCCCCTGGCTTTGGCAGTTGTGTAATTTAAATTCTGATTATTTTTAACTACCACACTGAAGTGAAAGTTAAGAACAATGAAACCAGAAAACTGCGAAGCCCTGAGTACATATCAGATTCCACTGCCATAAGTGTCTGTCTGTGAAAAGGGAGCAGATGTTGCTTATTTCACTTTTAATTTCACACTTCCCATAAGCACTCACCTCACTCGTGGTTCCTCCCTGTCACTGCTGTGTCCGGGGTCGCTGCCTCCGGGCGAGGGGACAGCGCGGTCCCTCCAGCCAGACTGCTGCAGGGGGGTTCTGCATAACTCCACGGCCCCGGGCTGCACTGCTTGGCTTCCGTGGGCTGCAGCGAGGCAGCTGGAGAGGTGGTGGTGCTGCTGTAAGAACCTTGGGAAAAAGTAGCAGGAATGTCAGAGCAGATGGAGTTAAAGAGAGGTAAAAATGTTGGTCTACTAAGAGTTGTAGCAGCGGCAGAGTCACTTGGACTGAGATCAAATGCGAAGTCTTTTAAATAGGACAGCGCTTGATTATTTAGCTGGGCATATTCAAAATTTAGCTTGCTTCTAGTGACCTCATCTAGGATTTTTGCTCCACTTTTCTGATCTTCAGAGCAAATTTGCTGCCCATTTTGCTTGAAATGATACAGACTGCTGGATTGAAAACTTGTCTCATACTTGTGTTGGTTTGTGCTAGGAATACTGGAGTATTCTGGATTTTGGGCAATGCAGTTGCATTCATTTTGCAACAATAACTTGTTTTTGTACTGAGACATCTTACGAATTATATTGTTCATTTCATTCCCAATGTATTTGTCTTCCAAGTGCTTGTTTTCATAGCTGATTTTTAACGATGCCACTTGTGTTACACAGCGCTCTAAGAGCTGCACTATGTTAGTGCTGCTCTCTGTTGGTGTGGGGCTAATGTAGCTCTGGAAGGGCCTCAGAGTGAGAGGCTGCAGCGGTTTGTCACAGGAAAGAGAGAGAGTGTGATACATCGGTTTGTTTATGTCCTCCTTCTCGAGGGGATCCCGGAGTGAGGTTGCAGCAGTCTTGTAGGAGTAACATGATTCTACTTCCTGATTATCATCTAATGAAGGATTTTCGGAGCTCAGGGAGCCACTCTCTCTGTTCAGCTTTTCTGGCAGTGTGTTTTTATCTCCAGATGTCTCGCATCCTTCTGAAATTGTCGCCTCCTCATTCTCAGATGAAGATGTCTGCAGATTGTCTCTGCTAGCCTGTGATTGCGGTGCGTAACTTGATGCTCTGGTGGTTTCCACAGTCCCAGGCAGTGTAGATGAATCCTTGTGGTGACTCCCTTCCCTTCCTTGGAAATCCAGATAAGATGTGTTAGGGCAAGAGTCCAGGCTGTGGTCTCCTTCAGCAACATTTACTGAAGTGGCCTGGGTTACATGTTTGCTTTCATCCAGAGATACACATAGTTTAAATGTATTAGATTCTTCTTTGCTGGGTTTCTCTTGCTGAGCTTCTGTGATCGCTTTCTGCTCTGGACTGGGGCTGTGTGGCATTGATGAATCATTAGACTTTTCTGGCAGTGATTGAGGACCCTGAAGAGAGTCAGGGGAGGAAACAACTCCCGAGTGTTTTCGCAGCCAGTTTATTATCCCCATGGTCAGTGAAAGCTCAGTATCGCAGAGCTTTAGCAAACATTCTTTGCCTTTCCACGTGCTGTGGAGAAAACCCTGGCTGATAATGTCTAGAGCCGGTTGGGAAGCCATGTTCTCCTCAGCTCCAACATGGAAGCTGTAAATGGACAAAGGGATTTCAATGGCTTGTTCTGAAATGCTTTCAGATGTGCACAAGTCATCATCTAGGACTGGGTTTATTTTGACTTCGTTTGGGTCATAGAAGAGCTCATAAAGGGCATCTCCGCTGTAGCTGTCTCTTGGGAATCTACCTGGGACCCCAGGGGTCTGAGCTTCCTTCATTTCATCATCTTGTCCGGGAGAGAATGAATCATAGTAGCCTTCATCACTTGTGGATGTGGATTCCTGGTTGTCACTTTTTGGCGTTCCTGTTTCGGTGGAGCTCTCTTTGGAATTGTCACCATCTTTATCAGGTGACACTTGGGGGTCTGTCACAGATGCAGCAGCCTGGCTTCTAGCCTTTTCCACATCAGGACCAGGTATCTTCAGTAACTTCTTATCAAACAGAGCATTCTGATGTAGCCTCACCGATTTGTTAATGTTGTCCCAAAACTTTGCAAATTCAACAGTCTCATTCTGGCCAGGAGAGGCCAGCTGCTCCACACCCCCTTGGAAAGAGCCCATGACAGGGCTGTCTTTGTGCTTGCTTCGTCTCAGCAGAACTTCTTTGCTGTTCTCCAGCTCCAGGTGAGCAGAGCTCTCATCAGCAAAGATTTCCCCACAGCCAGTGAGGGAGTCAAAGCTCTTCAGTGAGGCAACATCTTCACACAGGGTGTTGCAGCAGTCATAGGAAGAGTCAGACTGCAGTTCACTGTCTGAGCAGTCTTGTGACAAGCAGTCAGCTGCAAATGTTTCTCCAGTTTTGAAAAGATACTTTGCAAGACGCCCAGAAAACTCACTTTTGCAACCTGAGGAGGACAGATTCTTGTCCTTCTCAACCAGGAATGTGAGGCTGTCTGGTTTATTTTTTCTAATATGAAATATATCTCTGAGCCCTTTCTTAGATCTCTTGAGGGAAATCCTCTTCCTAGGAATGGTTTTTGCAACAGCTGGTACGAAAGGCATCTGTGGCACAAAGTTCCTGTAATCGATCATCTGACTGCTGCATGCAGACTGGCTGGGGCTGACCACACACTCTTTCTTACTGCTGGAGCTGGACATTCCTGAAAAGCTGATGCTATTGACAAGGCGGCCCTTACCCTTTCCAGAAAAACCTTCCTCACAAGCCCTGCTGGTGGGGCTACACTGCTCTGTTTTGTCCACCTCAGTAACACAGTCATGGGTTTTACTCTTCCTTACAAGTTTGTAGGAGGAGCCAGATGATTTTTCCAGGCTATTGTCACCAGCTCCATTCCTTGCTGCTCTGGTAGAAAATCTGTAGTTCTTGTGTGTGGCCAAACATGCCAGCTGGACTTCTGCTACACTTTGGTTTCCCTCGAGAGCTGCCTTTTTGTCTTTCCCTGTATCGTCTTTGTTGATAGGAACTGTGTGCACTGGTGGCACTTTCTCATGTTGCACACTGGATTTTATGAAGGTCTTCCCTCTCTTGAGCTCCATACTGCTTCCTCACATCTGTTTCTGTAAAGCAAACAGCAGAATAAAAATATTGTAAGGTTGGTGGCTAGCACTTGTAAACTTTGTAAACAACTGGAGAACAAAGGGATGGATATTAAACATTATACCATTGCTTTTATTTGTCACCAGAAATTTCCATTACTGATTCATGGTATTGCATGAGAAGCAGATCAAGTGAAACTGAAGGTCTGATGGCAACGGCTGGAAGATCCAGCAAGGAGAAGATGGGACACATCGTGGGTTGGTAGCTAAGGCTCAGAGAACATTTTGTCTGTTAGAAATGAGGGGGTTTGGATTTAGGATTATGACTGTGGGATGGTTTTTAACAAAATAGAGCTCCTATTCTGGAACTAGAAGAGGCATCAATGAAAAGCAATGCCTGAGGAACTTTAATGTGCAAGTGTGTGCATCAGGGAGGCAGCAGTTCATAAATCTGTGCCTCTGAGGAGGACGAAGAGCTCAGGGTGGGAAATCTGAGAAAATGGATCAAACATTTGATACATGATGCTTACTTTATATTAAAATAATCCTTACCTATAGAGAGAAAATCCATAAACCTTGGTACTACCCTGGGAAGCATGCTGAAACTGAATTAGTGTTTTTGCTTCCTCCTGAGCATAATGTATAATTTTCTGCACTATTATTTTTATTGTAAAAAGTCAAAAATGCCACATTGAAAATCACTGTTAATTATGACAGAAACTGGATTTTTACTGGATGGGAAGTAGGACAAAACCTTCAAGTCCTGTTCTTGAAAGAATGTGCTTGGATCTTTCCTTAATGAAACCTCAGTTAATGATTTCTCTTGTTTTGAATTGCTTATACATAACTAAAACCACTTAGAGCCACTGAACTCTGTAACACGCACAAACAACACAGTGCCGTCTCCTGTACTCCTTGACAAGCAGTGTGTAACAGCTCTGGTGAAATGAAAAATTACCAAAACTTGCTTGAGAGCAATCTCAGATCAGATCCATGGATCCAGACATGCACCCAATACAAAGACAGCCAGGGAGATTTTAATTCAGCACTAAGCCTAGCCTTTGTACACTCTTAAAGTACAACTTAAAGCAGTCTTTAGTCTACCCGGAACTAAAACAGCTGTCCATAGCCTCCAGAGGCTTTCCAGTTGCCAGGGCTTGCTGGGAATGGCAACACTGACCAACACCTCACCAGATACAGGTCTGTGTGTCTGGGAGCTGTTTCACCTGCAGCACTTCTCCAGCAGGCAGGTCAGTGACAGCCTGTTTCTCATAGAAGCTGCAAACTAGCAGGTGATGAGCAATATTTACAACTAAATGTAGGTCAGTGATGAAAGGTAGAAAACGTAAGGGTAAAGGGTGAATATTTGACATCAAGAGTATGGATGCTATGGAAAACATGGGTGATGATAGATGGGCATCTATCAGTATGATTGAGAGGGTGGCACATTTATTTGCATTTAGGGCTGCATGTGAGTATTGAAGAGCATTCTCAATGAAAGCCAGTAAACATTTTATTACACTGCCAGGTATCTGGAGTTCACTGATGCTGCAGGAAACTTGTTTTGCATATTTAGAAATAGGTCACTGGGACATGATTACGCTCCTCTTCTGAAAAGCAAGGTGTGATTGAGAAGGAATTCGGTATGCAGAACTCCAGCAGAGTTGTGAAAATTATTAGAAACAGCTGACGCAAGACCAAATATTAATATCCCAAAAGTAAAGTGTCTGACATCTCAGTCCTTTGCAATTGTAGAAGTAGGTACTGTGTCCCTGTGGGAAGTCCTGCTGCTGAGAAGGTCCTTAGAGGTCCATGACGTGGCAAATGCTAGCATTTTAACAATGTTATGTAGGACTCTCTGAAGATCCACAGCTGTTTCTGCCCATTCTGAGTATTAACCAAGGGTCATTTTTGTAGGAAATTGCATACTTGGGAAGTTTTTTCTGTAGATGCATTCAAAAGGCTCTTAGAGGTAGATTTGGCTTATTGTCAAGTATGAAACTTAGTAAAGCTAAGAATTCATGGCATTATTAGATAATCTTCTGAATAAAGAAATCTTTGATCTGAACTGTATCTCCTTGATAAGAAACACAATGGAGTACCAGTTAGATAACTGGGTCTAGAAACTTCAAGGCTTGTTCCTCTGTCTTTTTTTTTTTTTAGACTAGATGAACAGTTTTAACATAAAAGCCGAAATGGCCTGAATAACATCTGTACTGAGAATATATGTAGTATAATAATGTAAGATACACTGATGGTAGCCTATGCTACCTTTTCAGTTTCCTCTGATGAGAAAAAAAAAAAAAAAGTTAGGTGTTGTTTATTTGTTTTGGGTTTGGTTGGTTGGTTGGGTTTTTTTAAGATCTACTATACATATAATCATCAACTTTGTATGCTAATTGTTTAATGTCTCTATTTAATACCATATATTCTTTTTCTCATTTTCCCCCAGGATTCATGCCAGACTAATTAGAACCTAGTTCATTGTGTCATCCTGCTTATTCTTTTTTAACACTGGCACAGTTTTGGGAATCTTCTCCATTAAAAATATTGTTAAAAATTAACATCAAGAAAGGGAAGATCTCCTCAGTCAACTCTTTGAGGGCTTTTAAGGTCAGACTACCAGCCTGCAGATTTTTTTAAATATTCATCTTAGATGCTGTTTTGCAATTTCCCATACCATGAGTTCCTCTTCAGCCTCATATGATATAAATCATCAATGAGCTTCTTTCCAAACATAGAGCAGAAATATTTATGCGTTGCCACTCTCTTTCTATATCTATTAATACTTTTAGCACTTTTGGTTGTAATGGAATGTAACATGATACCTTTTTTTTTTTTTTTGTCTCTGCAGAGACACAAGTTGTATCTCTAACCCCAGAAGCTGTACCAGTGAAGTTAGAAACAGATTAATGTGCTGTAAGGGAAAGTTACCCTCCAGTGGTTATGTAAAGCTAATCAAAACTTTATGAAAAATTATTATAGGCATTTAAAAAATGGTACATGTCCTCTGGGATTTCTTGATCCATACACTCAGATATACTATTGCCTGTCTCTGTTCTTCTTTAATTATTCTCCTCTTGGATTTAATTTGCAGTATATCTCTTCTTCCACAGAGATAAAGGGTATACAAGGGACTGATTTCTGCCTTTTCAAAGGAAATATATTTTGCAATTAAAAATCACTGTAAAGATAAGAAACCTGTGGAAACTAGCAGTCAGTCTACTAAGGCTAGGTTGTTCTGTTTTCAACAGGCTCTGGATATTTTTTTTGTTAATGTTACTTGGCCTCTGTTTTTTTTAATATCTGGGAAATTACTTACGGAACACATGTTTAAATGGAGGACATTCTTCAATCTCATACTGGACTACAGTTTAATTGTCATTTACAATGATCTTAGGTGCAGCAGCATTGAGACTTCCCATCTACGGTAACCACTACTTTTATCTGTCTTGATCTTACCAGCTGCTTGCTTTTGGGATTTCACAAGTGTCCAAGCAGGCAAATAGATCTTAATTTTGGGCTTATACTGTGATAGAAATAAGGTTTTTGTTTAAATTTGGATAATACTGCTCATAAAATGCAGAGATACTTTGTGCTCAAACATATACCAATCTGTGCAGGGTGTCTTTTCATAAAAACAGAAGGTTTTACTGTGTCTGTGATTCATCTAAAAGTAAATTAAAGTTTTAGAATGGAAACAAGAACACATTCCTGTAGGCTGAGGAGACTTGGTTTTAGGACAGTCAAAACAATTGCTTATAGTTCTGGGTTACGAGGACCTGAACAAGACTGAGTTAGGTAACTGTTCTGGTTAATAAAAGCCATATTCAGATGGCCTAAATTCTACCTAAGTCCAGGTCAACAGACAAGGAGGCCAAAGAGGGGTGCAGTGGAGCTGGGCTGGGTATTAGGAAGCAGGAGGAAGGTGGGTAGAGGCAGGATTCAAACTGTCCAAATATTGGCTCTGTCACGTGCGTCAGAGAAGAGGGGGGTCACACTTGCCTCTGCCCATGGTCCCCAAAGCTTTCTGCCAGACTGAGCTGTCTACAGTTTTCCTTCTCTGGAGGAATGGGGGAAGACTGGCTTTGGTTTTTGGGCTGCTGTCAAAGTATCTTATATCTTACAAGCTTATCTCACAGTGGAAAGGTTTGCTTAGGTTATCTTAAAATAAAAGGTAAAATAGGTTGTGCATTAATGTGTCAGGAGCTAAAATAGCAGCCCTCTTGAATGTAACTCTAGGAAGATTATCCTTCTGAGAAAGTAGAAGTATCTGCTTCAGTGAGGTTGCAAGAATAGAAATAATAATATTACAAAAAGGGAAATTTAAATGAACTCTCTGGCTTCAGCAAGTTTGGCCCAAAATTAATTTGCTTAAGTGGGAAAAAAAATAAAGCTTATTTTTTTCAAAATCAGGTGTCTAGCTTGGACACTCTTACTTGCTTGTTTGATGTGTAATTTATACATAGTTGTATTTCTTGGAGATAGAAATAAGCAAAATTTAGAATGCAGTCATTTTGCAGGGGAGATAGGAGTGCTTGTTCTGCTTCTTTACATTTAGATCATTCTTAAAATTGGCAGATTGTGGAGATAGCACCTTGCTGTCCTTTGCTAAGCAGAATTCTACATGCCACTTGGAGTCTTAATTTCACCTCCCTCCAAGCATTTTCCTTTTATTAAAGGAAAAAGTTTATAAACATTGCATACTCTTTTGTTTTTTTTTAATTTAGTAAGAAGGAAAAAAAATCTATTTGGACTGCTTTTATGTTTTAGGATACAAGTTTAGAGTGGGTCCAGAATCCCTTTTCCACAAGTGGCTTCATATCAATCAGACTTCAGATCCTGAGTATCAGAGTTACCTTTGAAAATATTACCCCTGCTTTCCAAACAAAAATGGTAGCATAATTAAATTTCCTGAAAACATATATCTGGTTTGGGCATTTGGACATGTATTATACTTAAAATGGATGCACCTTAAGATTAAATGTTTTTTAAAATATTTCTTGAGAAATTGTATATTGGGAAAGGGAAAAGAAGGGGATAAAGAGAGTGCTCTGGGAGGCCCTCTCTTCCTACACCTAGTTAACCTGGGAGGATTTTTGCTGGGCACCAGCTGAGAGTCCTAAAATACAAAAACAAGCAAGCATGAGGTGGGGAGAGACACAGCTACTTTTAAAGTCAGTGGACAATACTAATTTTTAATGCTTAGGATCTAATCAATTAGCAATGCATAGAGAACAGCTTGTGCTTCCAGTAAAGTGTGTGGGGGGGTATTTTTGAAATAAGACTATTTACGATCAAAAACCTTAACTCTCTATCTCAGAAGATGAAAGTTAATAATGGAAATACTTGATAATAATCATAGGCATATATTCCATTCTGATAATTTGATTTTTAATTACAAAGGGATAAAATGCTTCCTTGCTAGAGGGTAGTGATATCCTGTCTGCAGTTATTCTAACACTGTTTCTAGTAAGCAAATAAACATAACAGTTCTTCGGGTGAAAACCAAAGAGGATTTTAAAGCAGGACTCATTTTCTCACTTAAACTGATTACCCTGCTAGTATCTCATCTCCCTTAGAAAACAGAAAAGAATGGGGTGGAAAGGATGGAGGATGTAATCAGGGATAGTCATGATTCAGGATATAGAAGAATGTTTATTTTTAAAGATGCCAGTGTGACACACAAGCCTGCATTAAGATCATGCCTCTTGTTAGGAGTACTCCTCTCATTCCCCTTAATCATTTCTCTCTCTTGGATAACCTAGGATGCCTAATTATTTGCATATACATTTAGGTCAGGCAATGGCTTTCTCACCAGCAAAAAGCACACTGGTGTCTCTTCCTTCAACCTTAATTCCACTGAGCACACAAAGTAAAATCTTACACTCCTTAGCAGAATGCTAGAAGGACGTGTAGTTAAATGCTTAATCTTATTAGCAGTATGCTATAGGGAAGCCTGAACCTTCCTTTAAGCCCTGCCAACTGTTCAGTGGAGCTCAGGATTTTTCATAGTAAAAATTAACCACGTTTCTACTCCCAGCACACTGTCCTGCTGTGTGCCTACAGTAGGGGTCCCTGGGGGCACAGCAGCACCCACTGCTTCTCCCAGCCCCGCGTGGGGCACCCACTGCTTCTCCCAGCCCCACATGGGGTGTGTGGCAGGGAGGAAAGAGGCTGAGACCATGACAAAAGGAGGCTTCTCCTCTGACAAAACCTCTGCACCCCTCACTCAGTTTTCTTCTATACCTGAGGCTGAAAGAAATGTAACTGCTTGAAATGTTCCAATTACACCGTGTGAAAGGGCAGCATAAACTCCTGAACAGGCAGCTATTGAATCACTATTGCTAGAAGAAGGAAGCTGAGCAGAAATTTCCGCTGTGTACCTGAGAAGAAAACGGGGCATTTTTTACTTGCCCTGACCAGCAGCCTGTTGGTACCAGACAGCCAAGTGTTAATGCTGTCAGCTGTGGCTGGTTTTAGTAATTTATTGCCTTAAAGGGAGATAGGATGGGCATTTATATAAATACAGGCACACACTTGTCACTTGTATGGAAAAATAACTGAAAAACAATGCTTCAAAAATGAGCAGTCATCCCAAAATAATAGTCCCTTGGAGTCACTGTGAGTGTCAGAGCAAAGGAAATGCCATTGAACCAGAGCAAACAATAAGGCAGATCACAAAAATCCTACTCACCATGTTTTATCACTGAGCAGAAATCCTCTGTCTCCTAGCCTTGCTACTGAGGCTGGTCTTTATCCAGAGGCTCCTGTGATGCTTTTCAGATTCTGAGGGGCTGGACCACTGCTGCTCTCCAGTGTTACTCTCCACCCCCTGTCTTTTCCTCCTCCTTCTTCCTTCATCCCCACCCCCTCATTCCTCCTGCTTGTAGCTTTTTTGTACCTTACATAGATTCTAGGCTTCCACATGTAGCTTGATTTAGGAAAGATGCTTATTTCAGCCATCTGCTTGATGCCATGGAAATGTCTCCATTGCTAAGGAATAAAAGCCCAGAAGGTAAGCTTGGGAGTCCTGAGCCAGCATTTCGGTTCCTCTGTATACAACTGCTTATTAAATAGGGAGGAACACAGCCAAATTAATTTAATTTCTCACATGTTTTTTTGTTTCTGGCTAGGATTAAGGAAAAGCAGTCCTAACATGCTTTTAGGTTAGTGAGATGCTTCACTATGCAATGTATGCAGATTATTGGCTGTGTCACCCTTTGTAGGCTTTGTTATCACTGAAGTTAGAGGAGATTTCATGTGGGAGCAAAGTGGCATAAGGGAAGAGTGAATATTTCTGCTGCCCAAAGCTAGAGTGCCTCATATTGCCTTCGACAAACAAGATTATCAAATTCTCCTTATAGTCAGTCTAACTTTTGCTTCAGTGTGCAGTGAAGTCAACATCTGATGTTACAACATCATTCTTTGTTACACAGATGAGCTTATTACCATCACAAGCACCAGAGCTTTAATCTTACAGAAGTGTAAAGCTGGCATCCTTGCCCCAGCCCTCTCTCCGTGAAGGGCTTCCAACCTGGTCATATCTTGATTGTCCATCCCCATTAACTCTCCTCTGAGTCCTTTACATCAGTCTCTCAAGCCCCCTGCCTTCTCCTTCCTGCTTGTCGAAACACCTCTGTTGGGGCCATGGTTGGGGGCTCTTCAAAGCAAAAGCATATGCAATGAAGCAGTGGCTTAATCCACTTTCAGTAACTTTCCTGTGAGCTGCAGTTTAGAGCTGTACTCTCGGATAATGGAGTAGTTTGAGTACAGACTGGCATATCTGCGAGCAGTTTACCTTTCCGATGTAGGGGCTAACATCACGGTTGCTTTCAGAGAACAGGCAGCTCTCAGATGATTGAGTGAGACAGAGCAAGTTCAGACAGGTCCAGTCTGTGCAGGTATTTAGAAAATCCTCCAGCTCTGTATGAACTGAAGATGAGCATTCCCTCACAACTGGAGCTGGTGCATCAGTCAGAGAGCTGATCTCTTCTGTCCCCACATGACAGCAGAAAAGGAACAAAAGCTTTACCGTGCTACCTGTTCTCATCCTTTCAGTGTGCTTTAGCTGAGTCTTGGGCATGAGGGAGGAAGGAGCTTAAACGTTTGTGCTGTCTAAGCTTCTAAAGCTGCAAAATCAGCCAGTTAACCTGAAAGGAGGCAGAACAGAGTGCTCCTGCTCTGAGTTCCAGCCAGTAAGCCACTCAGGTGTCCCTGGTGGTAGACACTGGAAAATTACTACTTGGAAAACACCCCAGGTTCAGTCCAACCTGCAACAAATTAGTATTGTATGAGCAAACCTAGAAAGACTAGGGGTTTAGATTTTTTTATTTGGAAATCATTCATGCACAGTTTCTGAGCTGAGTTTCTTAACTCTGAAGTGCAGGTATTCAAGGTAAAGGTAATCAGAGAAGATGTACCCAAATATGGCATGTTGAGAAGTACATAGGCAACAGAGAGCACTTAAAATGGCATTTGAAGCCTACTTCATGTTCAACTCAGGCTCAATAAGACAAGACATCCTCAAAGATTTAGAGAAGAGAATCTGGCTAGGGAGGAGCTCTTGGCTCCAGTAGTGTTTCAGGTAGTTCCCACACCTGCTGTCTCTAGGACAGTCTGTTGCTGCCCCTCAGAAACTGGGAAAGCTCTCATATAGATGTCCCTGTTTCTAACAAATGGTACCTGTTGTCCCTTTGCTGGAGGAGTTAGAGGAGGTCACTCTAGACCTGGATGAGATACCCAAATCTGTTCATGGTGACTCAGGTAAAGCAACGCCTGTGATGAGCGAACTCCAGGTTTTAGGATGTTTACTTCAGGATGTCCATGTGGACAAACATTTCCATCTTTAGGGCCTTTTATTTCCCTTCATCAAGGGAAGTGGCTAAATCCATTGGCTATCCGTGGCCATAGCGATCCACAGCCATAGCCTCCATTGGCCTAAATCACAGTCTCATTGCATGCACTGGTAAATGCACAGTATGTTGAATAGCAGCTGAACCATGGTAGCCTTTATGCAATAGAGCTTTTTTATCTTCCTAAATAGTTCTCAACTTGTAGTGGCTGTTGATCAGCTTGGTTCAAAAGGTTGGTTCATGGAGAATCTAATCATCCTCTCTGATTAATTCTGATTAATTCAGTCTGTCCAGAATTGTTTTGGGCATCAGTGGGCATAAAAGGGAAGGGAAATCAGAAAACTGTAAATGAGGGGCACGCGGAATAGCTGCCATCTGTTTAGCAGAAGCACACAGCCCTTGGCTTGGGGAGTATGGGGAGGGCCCTTGAGAGAAGAAGGACTAAGGAACATACAGTCCCTGACATGGCAAGAGTAGGGCAGCAGGGTCCTTGGTATCCAGTGAGGAGGAATGGGGAGAGGAGGAGGAAAATCCACATAAGGGGCAGTGTGGAGACAGGGAGGGAGTTTTAAGAGGAAGGAGGCCCAGCCTTCCAGAGCTTGAAGTGGGTAGCAAATGTTTGCACCAAATGATTGAAGACAGCTCTTAGCATGAGCAAAGCACAAAAAGCAAACTATACTATTTTTAAATTTTCTTTCATGGAAGAATGTAGCAGATTCTTTAATGCTGAGACTCAGAACAAAACCATTTGCTGAGATAGCTCTATTTGTTTCCGAGGAATTACTTACAGAATGAATTTGACCCAGGCTATTTCCTGCCAGTGAACTAATGAAGAGTCTAACATCCCCAATCCAGTTGAGCTTTCTGCTAACATCAGCTTAAACTTAATTATTCATGGATTCTTATCAGTATTTCTTGGTTTTGCATGTCATAGAGAATTGGTAATGGGATATGGAGCTTTTTCTCTCCAGTTTGCTAGCAGAAGACTGCCCTAGCTTGAAGCGAACAATCTTTGCTACTTATCTGACTGCTTCCCAGGGCTTACATTAAGTTAATTGCTACTGTCTTTGTAATTACTTGGTGACCTAGTGTTTGCTGCAAAATTTAGGATTGTGAATTGTTTTAATAACATCAGTACTTAGAAAACAGAAGAGATTTCTGTAAATGTATTCCACCCCAACATCTCCTGCCTGTCTTCCCTGTGAGGCACTGTGGTTGCCATATTTGCTGCCAAGGGGATGAAGTGAGTAGGGTTGCAAGAGCCCCTTTCAGTACTGGTATTAAAAGTTTGGCTGTCCTGCCTGCCAGCCCTTGAAGTGCCAGTGATGATGCCCGCAAGGGAAGAAAGGAATGCCCAGTGCCTCCAGGACAGCACTGATCATGTTTTCGGTAGTGCTGTTCCAGGTACTATGGATGACTGATTGTGAACTGCTTGTTGCCTCAAAGGAGAATGAGAAGGGATTTTGAGGAAAAAAGAAAGTGATGAGGACATTTCTCCAGCTGCTCATGTTAGAATAGTGGCTGCCCTTAAACTTCCTGCTTTAAACAACACCTGGGAGGAACATGACATCTCAGGGACCTGACTACAGAAATGTTTAAATACAAGGGATGTTTTCAGAAGTTTTTCCATTCCAGATATGCCTGTGTGTCACAGACGTCTGTCCAGATGAGGCACTAATACCTCCAGTTTATTGAACTACTGCTGTCATTAACAGACACTCCCTGTCTCAAAGGCAAAATAATCATTCAGCATAAAGCACGAGAGATGGCAAAATGCACTATTCCATGGACATCCCAGTGCAACCTATAAGTAAATTTTTCTCAGCTTCTGCTGAGGAAGGTGCTATTGTGATGACTTGAGGGAAGGTTATAGGAAATTTTTAAAGACTCTTTTTGTATGACTTGGTTTTCCTGCTTAATTTTATATTGCTCTCTGCCTGAATACATAAAATTAAGTGCTCTAAGGGCTTAGTCAGGAAACTGAAAAAAGAGATAGGTGTAAGTAGCCATAGACAGGGCTTCAAATAACAGAGACAGACCATCAGTGAGGGAGAAATTATTTTAGTGTCTTTAATGAGATAGTCTTTTAAATGCTGAAGTTGGGATCAAAGGAAGGCTAAAACCAAAAAGACCTAGATAAGACAGAAGTGAGTGATTAGATAAAGTTAGTGAGAGTGAATGCAATAGCACGGCAGGCTCAGATCTACGTGCCCAGACAGAAGGACACTGGGCTGTGAGCAGGGCAGGCTGCTGCTCCCACTTTTCTGCCTTTCACTGTTTGTGTGCTTTTATTTTGTATCTCAGTGAAAAAATAAATCTTTTGTTGTACAAAGACACTGGCTTGGTCACACTGCAGAAAATATACTTGTCACAGGATCTTGCAAAGCAGTCCTCATGGGTGGTATGGGGGCCAAGAACCAAATCACAAATCCTGTTCTGAGGGAAGAAACCTCTTGGCTGAGTGCGTAGTTAGTGGGACCTGGAGGTTAAAGGAGCACTACAGCCAGTCTGCTAACTGCGACAAGTAGCCCCTTGCTGTACATAAAATCCCACTTGTCTAGCAGTCAGTATTTAAATATAGGCATACAAAAGAACATTTGGAAGGTGGGTGATAAATGAAGCCTTTGAAATCACCAGCAGTGCAGCTGGTAACAATGAGGTTAGAAATGCTTATGGCTGATTTACTCAGTGGAACATACATTTTGGAAACAAATCTGTGTGTTGGACTTCTGTTGTTAGTGGCAATGTCACATCCAGATTTTGTTTTAAAGTGGCAAGTTGTGCATTTCAGAAGAGAATAAAATACACTAGCTAGCAGCCCTAGAGATATCATTTGGTAGTGATTGTTTCTCTTGTTCTCCTGCCTCCTGTGTGCTGGGTGATAGTGGCTGACTCCAGAAGCATACTGCCTGCTGCAGCCTTAACCG